AATATAGCCCAAAATTGTCCACTGATTGTCCAAATTTTCAAAGGCCTCTTCCTCTTCCTCTTCCTCTCATTCTCATTCTCATTCTCAATTTTTAATTTTTTTTTTTTAAACACCAGAAAAAATTGTATGGCCAAATCATCATTTTGCTACAAAATTTTGGTAGCACAATCTTGAGGGATTGTAGCACTGCATATGAAGTGTTGGGGTCACATACTGCCTGAACAGCATAGATTGTCCACCTCTGTCCTTGATCATCAAGTCAAACTTACACTATGTTGCCTATACTGTCTAGCTGGTACCCATATGGTATTAACCAATGATGGCATTATCCTATATTTCTAGGTTTAAGCCTAGAAAGGTTCTGGGAAGATTATCTTTTCCAGCAAAATGCATCTAATGGGAGGAAAAAAAAACCCTTAAAGCACCAGTTGTGAGCATCAGATGGCATATGGCTCACAAGTTTTAAAATATTATCTTCCAATTAAATTATTGGATTGAATTTTTTTCTGAAACAAGGTCCAGCGGGTGAGAAAACTGACATCTTTGAAACTTATATTAAATGAACTAAGCTGGCTGTACTGTCATCCCATACAAATTTGATTTAAGATTTTGTGTCTATGTAAACTTAGACTAGGGTGTTTCCATATTATATTCTGGGCTTTCTAGATTTTTTAAAGGTAAATCAGAGATGGGTGTGGCATTATTCTTTAAAAAAATGCTAGATAAAAGAACTACAACATCCACGGGTATGGATTTGGGGGGCAGGAGTGGATTTTATCTCTATCACATGCTTGTGGGCACCCCAAAAGCATCTGCTTGACCACTGTAAGGAACCAAAAATTGAACTAATATGGGTAGGGCTATGTTTATGTTCTGCTATGTGCTAGTAATGCATTTATATCTGAATGGGAATAGTATTTCAAATGAATTTTTATCTCAGATTAGTAAATTCTCAATCTATTCAGAATAGATACATTATTTCATAATTGATGCCAGTGCCCCTCTCCAATACAATGAAGTCTGACATTTTTCAGATTTGTACACAACTCTGACACAAAGATGCCACTTATTTAAGGAATCTACTCTTAGAGTTAATGACACTCTTAATGTAGTGCCACCTTTTCTCAGGTGTGTGCAGTGATGTTAAAAAGTAGGGGTATTTAAATAATTAGCAGACACTTACACAGGATCCAAAGTAATTTTTACAAGCCTATTATGCATACTATTAAAAGTTAACAAACTATCTTCTGGGATCTAAAAGACTTCACATTACGATAACATTAGCTTTTGTAGACTACAGATGTAGTGGGCTGTAGTCCACAAAAGTATTCCATTATAAATCAATTAGTGTAGAAGGTGCTACAGGATCCTTTGTTGTTTTTACAGCAGTCAACAAACTCAGTTTCTCCTCTGGGTACTACTTAGAAAAATGCAGTTCTAGCAAGCTTTATTTAAAAACAAAACAAAACACCAAACCCTGCTAATTACCAGTAAAGTTTAACTGTTAGATTACAAGCCTATAGGAATTATAGATGCAGTACCCCAACAAATAATGTTTGAATAAAGAAAGGTGATATGCAAGATGGATATACTTTAAGTAATGTTTTAAATTACAGTGTCTATGTTTAAGAATGTTCAGATTCAATACACAGAATTCATACAATGGTTGTATTGTCTCCAAGGCATATGTTATGGAATTAGTTTTACTTGCTTGATTCTACGTACAAATCTGCTCAGTGAAATACAGAAAATGTTCAGCAGAATATACCAAAAAAGGAAACATTTCCTGAACGTACTACATCATATTCAGCCACAGCCAAACACAAAGACACTGAAAAAGGACCAGATTATAGAAGCATTCCATAAATATATGGTTGAACAATTACCGGGTAGTCATTTCTCCCTGGTTGACCCTGGCTGAATGAGATGAAATAGAATAATATTTGTTAAGCATTCACTGAATGATGTAAGATACTCTGTATTTACTCTGTACATTAACTGGAAATGTAACTCAGTACACTAATGTCTCTTTTTAGAAAACAGAAGAACATCTATACCACAATTCAATGGGGGAAATAACAGTCTTTTGGAATTCAAAATTTTCTTCAGCCAAAGCTTGCAGAATATAAAGTCCTGCTATACATATATTTACTCAGTAGTTAAGTCCTACTGAATTCAAGGGAGAAGATTGCTGAGTACATGTAAGATTTCAGTCTAGTTGCCCATAATGCAATGACACCGAATTCAGTGAATTTATACTTGTTCAAATGAGTTTAAAGTTTTCTGGAACAACAACAAACAAAAATTCAAGCAGAAAGACTGTTTAATCTGAGTTATACCATCTACCATAATCAATTTTTGGTAAAGAACTAGAATAAGAAGTAGAATTAATTCACAACATTGTAGAAATGAATTTACATATTTAACATGTATAAATATATACATGTACAAAATGTGTGTATACACATACACACACATGTACGCATACACACAGCCACTTCTCATTTAGTGACTACCTTGGTTAGCAAATACCATAGTAATACCAATACCAAATACCACAGTAATAAAAAAATAATTTTCCAATCAATGTATGCATTTATGACCAGACTTCATGGGCCTTATAACAAAAGCCTTCATTGTGGAACTGCTTAAGGTCTGGTCAGTTTCAAGCAGGAGCACAGCCAGCTAGAGGATTCTAATCAACTAATTAAGGTCCCAGATCTGAGCTTGTTAACTTGCAGGTGGCACTTTTTAGGGAAATTCTGCACTGCAGAGAAAAGCAGCTCAGTAAGGTATAGCTTGTTTAACCAATCTCTTTACCCTGTGAGGGGGAAAAAAACAGGTCAGGCACAAGACACAGTACTAGACAACTTTATCTGAATGAGACGGCAACAACCAGTGATCTTCACACACTCTCAATCATTTAATGACAATTTCACTTAAGGTAAGTCGGTGGAATGGAATGCAGTCACTAAATGGGGAAAGAATGTATATGCATACAAATATACACATACAAACCAAGGATTGCAAATTAATAGCATCCAAGTGTTATAACATGATTTTTTTTTAAATCCTCTTTTTTAATACCTTTTATATTACAACATTCTAAACATCTAAATTAGGAGCTTTTGAAGACTGATAAAGGAATCCTACGTATCTCACTACAGAAAAGTCTCAGGTAAGTATATACAAAATTGCAACCTTATTGACCTAAGAGACAATGTTGACTATAAATTGGAAATGAGAAAGAGCATATCAAAATTTAATAAAAAATTTATCTTCAAGATTTCAGTGACTTTACACGCAAGCGCAGAACACCTTGGTTCTGCAGCATGGAAAAGGTCAACCAAAGTCCACCATATGCTATGCTCAACCCACACATAACTATCTTCTCTTCTGTGAGAAATTCAGGTTGCAGAATGTGCTTTGCAGATGAGCGAAATCATACTAAGCCAAACTCTTTATAAACAATCATACAGAAACATTGATAAATATGGCTTCTTCCTATAATGCAACAACAGAGGGAGAAAAAAGAGTACCTGAAATGATATTTTCTGTAAAGAAACCTAGAGTCAAACATACCACTGCTACTATTAAAGCCTGTTATTGTCAGTTCACAAAAACTTCAGAATGGTTCTTGATCTTTCTACTGAATGGATAGTTTGAAGAAAGCTACTGTTCCTCTCATGGTAATATTGGACTGCCCCCACAAACCTAGCTATCACAGTTCTCTCTGCTGTAGGAATGAAAGCTGAAATGCCTTTTTTTCAAACAGTCCACAGAATAAGTGGATGGTATGACATGATATTTACCATTGTGTCACTATGTGATGTGAGAGGTGCTTCTCGTCAAGGAACTCTGATTCATATTAAAATCCAGTTAGGGTAGACATTCTAGCAAGTAGTTTGTTATTATTATTAACGATTTAGTGCAATTTTCACTAGTTACCAGTAACTCTTTAAAGCACATAAACAATCTAATTTTATCTAGGTAATACTGGTTATATATTCAAAATTTGGCAATAAACCACATGTAAATTCTGCTTGTTAATAAAACAGTGATGTAATGGTTTTTGGATTTCATCTCCATTTGATGGACTGATGTCCATTAAATCTATGATTTGTTTGTTAAATACTGCCAGTGATGTAAAAAGACAGAAATAACACATTCAAAATTAGCAGACACTCTGCAAATGGTCACCTAAATTGAGGTTTTACTGTACAATAAAGGTTTTGGATGATGATAAACTGTAGTTTTTATTCATTTCATTTACTATTAATGCATTCAGCAAAAGGAATGAAATTGGCAGAAACACTGAAGAATGCCTGGTCTGAAAGATATTATGAGGGTTGATCCCTGCCACCATTGTTGACAATTCCTTTTCCATGAGGAAGGACCTGTATGCCCTTCTTACCATACAATTCCAGTTTGGCAAACTTAGCACATTCTTAGCACATTTGATATGTTCATTTACATCTTTAAATCAGACAAATTAAACCATCAAGCAGACTCTTGTATGGATGAGGCTTCAGCCGAGGACTCCCATTCATTTTTTAATAAATTGAGGCAAAACATTATTATAACAATGCTAATTGCTATAAAATTAAAATTAAAATACTCTGTCTAACACACTATATTTAATATTTATATAGTTTTTATGAGTTCTGAAATTAAGTTTAAAAATAATGTGTTTCCCCCCCTCCTCCCCCCAAAAATTGAGTTGAGGGTTAAAATTTGCTAGTAATAAAAGTGAATGCTTTTTGGACAGTAGTTGGCACTTTTAACTTATTGGTCACTTTTACCCATTACTGAAAACATCTTTTGTCCCATTCTTGATAAACAGAAGATCCAATAGCACAACAGTTGTACTTACAGGAGGTCCTGTGAAAAGAAAACAGAAGAAAAGAAGAAAAGAAATACATATATAGACACATGAGCTATTATTATTTGAAGATTAGTATTATTCATAGCCAAACTTGATCACAATTAGTTTTATTGGTGCTCAAATTACTTTATAGCAACAATATAATTTCAATATGCACTGAAAATGGTTCAGAAGTGCTTCAGATTTTACATAACCTTAGCCCTTCTCCATTTTTCATTAAAGCAGAGTGACTTTTTTCAAGCTTCCATGCAAGTCTGAAGAAAAATATGTGGCTGCTTTAAGAGTCATATTAATATTAATGAGTTGATGCCTTAAAGCAGCTGCATCCTTCTTTCAGATCTGAAAAAAAAAGTCAGGCAAGGTCCAATTATATTTTACCATCCAGTTCCAAGTAAACTCATATTAATTTCTCCCCATAGCATTTAATTTTATAATAAAGGCAGAATTGGTTGGATCTATATTTTTGCCATCTACTTTTGCCAAGATGGGCAAGTTCAACTAATCACAGAGCTAAAACTACTTCTTAAACATATCCTCCTTTTACAAGGCTGCCTCTTAAAATATCACATTTTGTGAAGCAATATTGGCACATTTTCCTAATTATTTACACACCATCCTTGAGAATGTTATAAAAAGTCTGCAAACCACATCAAATATTTACTTTAACCTTATTAAAAGGAGTAGTGGTGACCATCAGATCAATGACTTCTCGTTAATTCCTTTTTTCTCTTGCCTTGAGCATGTTGCAAAAGGGCATTTTTAACAGTTGTTCTTGAAATTTACTTAAATATGGTAGACTTTTGCTAACAATATGCTAATTAGCTAAAGTCATTTCTTGATTTTAAAGCCTTAATCCTAAAGAGAAATTTAATATACAGGATCTTTTCCTAACAGAAAACAATTTAGTTTCCTTTATTAATAATGTCATATGTTTAAACACATAAGACATCTTATTGAAATACCCTATTAAAATCCCAAAGTTTAATTCTCATGTGGCACAACAAGCATGAAGCTTTCTTGCTCTTTTCACCTCCAGTGCAACTATGAGGAATAAATTAAGCATTTCTATGTTTTATTTTATATTAACCACTTTTTAATGTTGAAAGCTAAACTTTTTAACTTAACTAGTTAATTAATTGAAACATCAAGACAAGCTACAGCTAATCCCAACAGAATCAGAGTTATCCTTGCAGTCATGCAGCAGACTCAGCTGATCCTCTTAGTGTTAAACTACATAGCATGTTATACCAATAGAGTTTCAGGGATATCTTGAGGGTTGTGAATTCAGCAGATGTCCCTATGAATGAAAGCAGGTAGTGGTATCCACAAGTGGAGAGAGGTCAGAATTGGCAAGATGGAAGAGGACCATCATGATGCAAGCACACACTCACACACAAACCCACATACACAACCGCCCCCCATTTGTGTGTGACATTAATGCACATACAAAAGAGTTGAGCCTTGCACCATGATGTTTTATCCAGTATCTTGCTGATTTTACCACCATTCTCCCACATACCCCGCTTAAACTAGGAAAAGAGAAAAGGAGCATAAGCTGAATTTTCCTTTCTCCTATAAGAATTTTTCAGGAGCAGGACAATGCCATTCTCAGAACATTCAATCACAGAGTTTCATTAACTCATTGACATATTTTATAGATTTACAGGACAAAGTTGCTATATTGGATTTTGTATTTGGATTAATTGATTAAATAAGAGCCAAACCTAATCAAAATTAGTAAATACGGTATAAATACCTACGAAATATATATAGCAATTCTATAACTACCAAACCACTAAAATATGCCAACATACCTCAGGCAAGAAAAAATATACTGATTTTATTTCATTAATACTTGCATAAAGAGTCAGCAGAAGATACCTTAGGATGCATACAATAAATCATTCCTTATGCAAAAGAGGCTGTCCACTAATAGAAGGCTACCTTGGGACCCAAGGAATAATGTGTCCACAAAATAGGATGTGCACATTCCAGGCATTTGGAAATTTCATTCTCAAGAGCATCAGCTACCATGGCCAGCGGCAAAGGATTGAAAAAACAGTAGCCTCAATCATCTGTAGGGCAGAAGGTTGCGCAAGGCTGCCCTGTGTTATTATCCCTTTTGTGTCCTCTAATAATCTCTCATCTTTCACTGAACGTAGCTGTTGAGTGTACAGTGGCAGTCTATAAACATCTTTAAATCAAACTATCAGCAAACAGACCAGAAATATTATTTTTATATCATATAAAGAAAATGTATTATTTTTATGTCTAAAAACTTACCAATCTCTCCTCTTCTTCCTCGCTTACCTCGTTTACCAGGAGGACCTGAAAAGAAAATATTTTATAATTGGTAATAGTGGAATTTAATTGTAGGAAGTTTAGTTAATAGATATATAACTTGTGTGCAGTCAAGATGATATCAGTATGAGAAATCAAAGGCATCAGACTCCTGGAGAAAGAAATGGCAGACTAAAGATGGCTCTGTGAAAAGTGGAGCCAACAACAGTGGCGCAATGAAGAGCTGGCAAATAGACCATCTCTTTGTAATTTATTTCCGGACAAGGAGAGGGCTTGAGATTGCCCACAAGTGCTCCACACAGCTGCTTTTCATGAAGAGACCACAAGATAATGGTCTCTGGAGGATCTAGAGCTCTGGGAGATGAGGGAATAGCCATCTTGCTTAAACCATGGTTGACGCCTTTGAAAGGACACTAAGTTCACATACTTTTCTAATCTCTTTTGGAAATTGCTTGTTAACTGTTTTTTAGCTATAAGAAACCTTTGGATTGACAAGTTTGATAGCACCGAGTGAGTTTCCTTCAATCCTTAGCGAAAGAAAGTTTTAACTACAAGTTTAAGAACTTAAAACAATTTTTTTGATAATAAACAACAAAAGTATGATTAAAACTTTGATTTTAGAAAGTTACAAATGGACTAAGGGTCCGGATAAATTTGAAATAAGATTTCCCCCCATTTTCTGTGGGAAAATGTTTTTGTTCTGAATTTTTTTTAAAAAGATAAGATTTTAAAAAGTGGACACTAGAGGTAACTAAAGATTACAATTAAAGAAGAACACATAACTCACAATTACAGAATGAAATAATAGTCATAGCAGATGTTTGACAGTTTCTGAATAAGTAGGAATTATAGTTCAGAATCATAACTGGTCAGACCTTAAATCTCTCAGACCCTCTTGCATTGCTGCCTGATTTTCCCTTATCTTTAACTTTCAAAAGTTAAGTTCCATTGATTATGGTTGCCTGTTTACATTCTCTGTATTCCTTTTTTTCAGAGAAATCCATCTACTTAGCCTGGAATAGTGACTAAAGCACTGAGAAGGTATAAAGGCAAAAGAGAGTGGGGTTTCTATAAGTGTTTATTTTTGTGTTGGAGTCTAACATACTTCCACCTGCCACTGGTACGCACCACCTTGAAGATCACTCTCAAAGAAGTAAGCTCCTTAATTCTAATTCAGTGTTGTCTCCTCCCTGCCTGACTTGATTTTACTTTGAAATCATTAATATATGCCACCAGAACAGAGGATAAGGATATAAAGTAACTCTATACATAGCAAACATAATTCTGATTCTTCATATACATATATCTTCTATGTCCAAATTATTGTGAAAAATTATAATCTTTGATCCTTGAGTTAAGTCAAGATTAACTGGTTTGGGAATCAATTGAAGCTGTTTTGCATAAGCCATTGTCTTTATATGGGTAACTGTATCATTCCACAAAATGTGACATTTTCACTTTTAATAAGCTTTCTATCAATATCCTCTAGTTATCAGCTTGCCTAAACACAACTTGACATAGGCTCTTTATCCAAATATAGTAGAATCCCAGGTGTGATGTTTATTTCCATAAGCACATTACCCCTGTGCAATGGGTCCTACATTAATTTTCAAGTAGATTTCTAGCTGCAATTCAAAGTGTTGGTTTTAATCTATAAAACCCTTTATAGCTAGGCACCTTGATACTTATAGAGCTATCTTTTCCTATCAGAATTGTTCCTATCAGTAGGTTCACCTCAGAGTAAAATTCAGGGGGTTCCTCATTTTATAAGGTAAAGGAGGCTGAGGCCTACAGGTGCTGTTTTTCTATTATGGCAGCCGTGCTGTGGAATAGCCTTCCACCTGAAGCTAGATTAGTCCTTCCTTAGTAGTTTTCTAGAAGCTGATGAAGATGAAGTTCTTCTGAAGAGTGTTTTGTGATTACCTTGGGTGATTTAATATTTATGCAAGCATTATATAAGTTGTTATTCTTACTGGTCTTGTAAACCAGTAGGAATCCAGTGAAATTCAGAGGAATATAAATTTAATGTTTAAATAAATATACATCCTGTAGTTCCTAATAATCCATTCTGGAGAGCTGGAAGATCCCTGGAATAGTGTGGGAGGAGTTGGGCAAGTTATAGGGGACTAGCTTCCCGTTCCTTTATATCTAAAGCCTTTCTGATGGTGCAACACGCAATCTGGATCTCATCTACTATATTTAACTTTACTTTTAAATATGATTGTATTTAAAAATGGATACCCTAAATTCACAGTACTTAATTATGTGATGCGTATATTGCTTTCTAAAGTAGGCTCTTGATTATAACACATTACAGTATAATAAGCCACTTACTGTCAATCTAATAATGCACAGTAAAGTCATCCCAAGAGATAGTTTGAAAATATTTCCAGAAGATAACTGGGCATTTTTGCATGGAGGAGATTTTTATTGTAAAATTGCCATTGAAAAAGTAGTTTTACTGCCAGTGTTTAACAGTAACATTTCACAGAGGAGCAAAATATGAGGCCCCAAGCCAGATGTAGCCCTAAATCCTGGGGTGCAGCTCTCAGAGACCTTTCCAAACTTGTACCAAATTGCAGTTGTTAATGTGGTAGAAGGGAAAATTATTATATACATGACTGGAAAGTAATTTAATTTTAATTAAAGTGTAAATGTTAATTAATTCCAGTCAAATCTGGTTTTTTTATTGGTTCCACATGCTACTTTGGAGAGTTTAACCTCAGCCATGCCACGCAAAAGTCAAGCATGACCCTTGCTCCTGGAAAAAGTTGTGCTCATTTGATGTATGCTACAGTTATGATAGGTAGGTAGGTAGGTAGGTAGGTAGATAATAGATAATATTTTATATGCATGTCATATTTGAATAAGTGTAGTTATTATTTATGATTGAGATGTCAAGCCTTTGTCAGTACGTTGAAGAACAAAATATATATTAACTAACAAATACCTCTAAAACAGCAAGTTCTAATTCTAAACTATAGTTTTCAGCCAAATGTACAGGATGTGATGTGAATAATGTGATTAAACAGGAGATTTAAGTACTTGTTTAATGCTCTTTTATTTATATCAGCAGTTGGACCGTCCTCAAGCTTCTAGTTTTTCTATTTTAGTTTATCATTTTAAGGAGGTCAATCTGAAAATCTAAAAATACAACAATGAAAACTAAAAGTGCAGCATTTTACTTTTGAAAGACACTATTCCAATACATGGTTTTGTTGAAATAAGTACACAGTTGAGTGAACATTTTGCGAGCAATTTCTTAGATATAAAAATAAGAATGAAATAAAGGAAATGTGGTTCCTCAAAATCATGCCACTTTTAAGTCTAATACATCAAGTTATCATCACCAGACTCTCTATTGTCTCTGCTCTCCATCCCCTGGTTCAGTCAAGCTGGGAGGCTGCACTCCAGGTCCCATAAATTAAAGAATATCATCTTGCGGGATCCAGAAAGTGCACCTACTCTCTTGCAATTCCTGACCTCTGGAATGTTCTCTCCCCAGAGATTCATGTGGCTCCCACCCATTCAGGAAACCTTTGAATACCTGGTTGTTCTCCCAGGCTTTGGAGACTGAGGGACTGTAGAGCCCCCTGTTTGGTTTGGATTGGCTTTTATTTTTGAACGGTGTTCTTCAGATCTGTTGCATTTTTCTTTAAGTTGGTTTTTAGTCATAAGCTACTCAGAGTAATTTGGGGGCCAGGCAGCCTATAAATTAAGTAAAATAAATATAAATAAATAATATAATATAACATCTAAATAAATATACTCCAGCTCCATTCTCCCAGTCAACTGTAGTGGTATTAGTCTGCCATATGAAAAAGGCAATCCTAGCTGTCAACTCCTTGACCTTCCTTCCAGCTTGCTAGAGAGCTTTAGAAGAGCTTCAGAGACTTCAGAAACACTGGTTGAAAGTCCTGGAGTAAACCAGCTTGAGGAAAAAAAGAAAAAGGAAGAAAAAGCAGTCTCATATATTTCTATTAAATTACCTCAGCTTTTTGTCCCAGATTGCATTCTGAATGACTGGGATTAAACAGTTGAGACACTGATTTGCTTAAAACAAGCATGGCATAGTAGGACAGCAGAAACCCATGCTCAAGCCTACCTCCATCATGGAAGCTTACTAAATGACTTTAACTTACACAAAGTCACTATCTTCCAGGTTCATTTAATTTATAGGATCATTGTGGAGAGAAATTGGAGGATGGACTCCTA